TGTTTTAAATATTGTGGACTTTTATTCTACAGCGGTGGTTCTGAACCTGGGTGATCATTTTCCTTAAGACACTGAGCAATGTCTAGAGGTATTTTTTAGTTGTCACAACTTGGAGGATGGGGTTGGTGTTTGTGCTATTGGCATGCAGTGGGTGGAGGCTAGGAGTGCTACCAAACATCTTAAAATATACAAGACAGCCCCCGCAACAAACAATTAGCTAGCTCAGAATACATGGGAAGTCTGCTCTATATACACCAAATGTAAATAAACAATTGTATCAGGGCTATGAGCTTCTGCCAAAATTCATTTAGACTGGACTGTTTTGTCATAAAAATATCAACTGGTCTACAAAAGATGAGTGAGTCTTCTTAGCAAAGCTTTTGCTTTCTTTTTGACTAGTCAAAGCCAAAGTAGCTTTGCTTCATATTGGCAATGAGTACAAAGATGATAACTACTGCCCAATGTTCTACAATATAATCCTATGTATTAAAAATGTTCTCCTTCATCTTTTTCTTTCAAACAGGAATATACGATTGATATATTTTTTGCCCAAACATGGTATGACAGACGTCTGAAATTCAACAGCACAATTAAAGTTCTCCGACTGAATAGCAACATGGTGGGAAAAATCTGGATTCCAGACACTTTCTTCAGAAACTCAAAAAAGGCTGATGCACACTGGATAACCACCCCTAATAGGATGCTGAGAATTTGGAATGATGGTCGAGTGCTCTATACCTTAAGGTATTCTTTTTTGGGGAAAAAAAAGGAGTAACTACTGGGAATAAAACAAACATCAACCACACTATCTCCAGACGAAAGGAAGAAAGGTCAAGCCTACGTCAGGGTTGGCATGCTTAATCAAAATAGTATGTGACTCTACAAAATTAGTTTTTCTTTCTGTTATCAGTGACTTTTTTCAAAGGAGTACTCACACAAAGAATTTATTTTCTATGACTAATGTGAAGACTCTGTTTTCTTCAAAGGACATGAAATTTCCCTTGCCTTTGTAAGATTGCTTGATCTTTGCATCAATCTTAGCTTTTGTGTGTGTACCCTGCTACTTTAAATGTGGAAGCTAAAACATAGTTAGTCATCTTTGGGACCACCATTTGTGAGCTTAGAAATGCCTCTGTTTCCAAGGAAACCATTGCACAAGGGGAATGTTGGATGCAGAAGTCTCCTGCAGGTCTTTCTCTTTTTACTGCACAATGGCAAGTAACAAGGATCAATTCCACCTCCCAGTATCCATTCCCCACTACACTGATAGGCTGTTTGACGTAATTTATTGGTTGTTTTGGAAATGCACATCATTTGGAAAAACTTTGAACTATTTTTTTTCCCCGTGAACTTAAATACTAAGTAACATTTGGAAGGTTTCTTACTTACATTATTTGATGTCATTATCTTAGCACTTCATACTTACATGTATTTACATAAATATTTTTCTGCTGAAGTTTCTCATTGGTGAGGGTACATTATTAAAGAACATAATAGATAAGTCCATAGACTTAAGAATCAGATAAATCTGGCTTCAATTCTTAGCTCTGTATTGTACTATCTTTCTATCTATCTATCTATCTATCTATCTATCTATCTATCTATCTATCTATCTATCTATCTATCTATATATGGGGTAATTCTCCAGAATTTCTACATCCGGGACTTGGGGGCAGCTATCTGGTAGCAGAGGTCTGGGTGCCAGAAGACATAGCTCAAAACTATTTGTATAGTAAGTTTGATGGTTTTACTTGGTTACATTTTTATTTAGAGGAATTAGGTGGGAACTGATGGAGATTACTTAGAAAGAAGGCACCACCATCCTCATGGCATGCCCCCCCCCCAGCTGAACAAACTTGTATCTTTCATTTGTTTAATTTCTATAAAATAGAGACAATGATTTTTATCTTACAGAGCTGTTATAAGGACTAAATTGGGTGATATATAAGTGCTTAACATAGAGACTGATATAGAGAAAATACAGCAGATATTAAATTTATTTATATATATATTTTAGTAAAAGATATGAATATGATTCTTCTACATTTTAGTATCCTGGAACTTTCAGCTTCAAAGTGATTCATGTTAAATGCCCTTGTGACATATTTTAGGCCTTGCATAATATCCAAAAATATATAAAATAGAATCTTTAAAAAAGCTACAAAACTTTCTATCAGTTAAATGGTAATATAAATTGCTAAGAAAAATGGCTACAAAGGAAATTCACTGCATATATTTTGAATTCATCATGGGTTTTATTAAATCAGGGATAAGGTAATGACTGGAATGAGAATCTAGTGGAAATCAAAGTTGGTCTGATAAATCTGAGCTCAGTCCAGCTTCTGAAATATTAAGCGATCACTCTATCTCAAGTACCTTTATCACTCTCATAATATTATAGTCATATTTTCACTTCTATTAATTTGAAGAGTCACTATACAATATTTATTTATGAAAACCACCTCAAAAATGTCACTCATAAGATTCAGTCAAGGTTCGAATGAGTTGCCAATCTATATTGAGGGATAATTTTATTCTTGTTCTTATCTATGAGTTATAAATGTATGTGTGCTTAGATATGTATGTATCTATCTTTGTTTTTGCAATCTTAATAACTCCAATTTTTCTAATTTTAACAATTCCAGATTAATTTGGAAAAATAATACCAAAAATATCAAATTTAATTCTAATTTCACTTATTAATAAACCTATCTTTTCTTCGGAAGAGCATATAATTACTTAGTAACAACGATTAAAACCTCCAGATTTGGAGACAGATAATCTTGGGTTCAGATCTCAACTGAGCCACTACTAGCTTTCTGACTTTGTGCAAGTTCAAGCACAATAAAGCCATAATAACACTTACCAAATGAGAATAATTCGTCTTACTAGTGTCATGTAAACAATTAACGCTGTGTGATTATTAGTTATATTTTAAGATCAGTGATTGCTCTATTATACCATAGAAAAGTAAAATCTACCCAAGTAAAAATTATACTAAACTGTAAAATCTTTTAAAATAAATGTTCATAAAATAACACTTTATTACTTCAAGATCGATATCATTGTAAGAAATATAGCTAACAAATATGAAATTTGAAAAGTCATCAACTCATCACCAGTACAATATTAGAATGTGTCCATACTTCTCCAGAGGTGTTCAGAACATCTGGAACTCCTTTAAATTTTCTCCCTTAAAGAGATCCCATACTGATCAGCCCATATTGATCCCATTTGTCAGCCCATATTGAGATCCAGAAAACCTGTATGTTTAATAAGCATCCCAGAGGTAAACATTATTTCAGAACCATTGGCAAACATCATTCTAGTATGTCTGTGCACATGTATTTAACATTTCTTGTTCGCCATTAGCTATTTTTCTACTCTATAACATCCTATTTAATAGCTTCATAGTGTTCCATTGTACAAATGCATAATACTCCATTGTTAAACAGGAGTTTTCAATTCACATGCAGTAATTTAAAGGTAATAGCTAACAAGTACTTACAAACAGAAGTTCTGCTTTAATTAGCAGATAAGATCTGAGAATTATCAACATTCATTTACATGCAAACAGTAAATGAGTTTAAGTTCTTAAAACAGTTTGTTCTGTTAAGAAAGTTGAATATATTCACTGAGCAATCTCATGTGTGCAATTAATTTGCCAAAAAAATTATGTGATCATAAAATTTGAATATATAGAATTGAGGTCATTGAGCACCTATTCTTTGGTCTGTTAAAATGAATAGACGACATGAAGCATTAAAACAATTTTCTCCTGGACTTGGCAGATTTGTTCAGTAAGAATCACCTTGTGTTATCCAATAAGAATGTGAGATATACTATCCAGGAATAAAGATGAAGAATGGTCATTAGAAATTGTGCTAATGCACATTTTTAAAACTGTCTGAAATCCTTATACTTCCATTTTACATCTTTATATTCAGGCTGACTATCGATGCTGAGTGCCAATTACAGTTACACAATTTCCCAATGGATGAACACTCCTGCCCCTTGGAGTTCTCCAGTTGTAAGTAATTCTCATTCTGTGTTTTGTCTACCCTCTCACCAATCATCTAATTGCAATGTCAATTAACTGGGAGATTCGCAGAGAATGCAAAATGGCATTAAGCAATGCTGCTGATTTTGAAGATGTTGGCAGCTTCTTTGATCATAACACCAGCTTGTCCCTAGTAGAGTGATTCTTGCAAAAATGGACGTAATTTATCAGGAATTATAAATAAGTTTCATTGAGGTGTAAATTCTTAATAAATTGGCAGTGGTTGACTGGAGCCCTTTGTTGAGAAGGATTGTAGAGCCAGGCCAGGACTCAGTAGAAGGGCGTAATGGTGGATTTATACATTCCCCATTCCCCCATGGGCCCAGGAGAAGAGAGAAGCAGCGGATTTGCTACTTATTTTCTCCCTTACCTTTCAGGGTGCACAGAGATCCCACAGTGCCGTTTGCTCCTTCCAGTTTGGGTATAACTGTTAAAGATAACAAAATTGAAAATCACTTTGTATTCCTCCTGCAATTCTAGCAATACCTAGAACTAGTTATCTATCAGTGAGCAAAAGACTGATTTGGGGTCTTGTATGAGTCTAGTTCAAATCCTAACATCAGCAGTATAGATTTGAGCAAATTCCTAAATTTCTCAGTGAGTCCTCATTCCCAGGAATCCATCAGAGATTCTAAGACCTGTCCCAGCACCATATTGTTTTGTTGATATAATATATGTAAAGTGCTTGGTATGCTGCTTCCCACACAAGATTCAATAAAGAGCTCTAATCTTTTAATTCTTATTACCAGGTAATAAAGTAAAAAGATCCAAAATGATGCTAACAAAAATTACAAGATGATTAAGATTTAGTAACCTTCACAAATATTTCCTATCTGAATCAAAAACAAGCCTGATTTCCCCGAAATGTTTGCTCACGACCTAATTAGCATACCTGATAAGTTCCTTCCCTCGTCCTTATTTTTGGTCGGCCAACAGTGCATATCAGGCAGAATATCACAAACTGATTGTAAATTTTAAGTTTTTATTTTTATAAATACAATTTCCCAGTCCGGGGGTGAGGGTGACTCCTAAGAGACACCCAAATCATAATAACCATACTTAAAGGGAAAAAAATAATAAAACAATGACAAGAGAAGCAATCATTTCTTCATCATTACATCAATTTTAGAGGGAACTAGAGGAACAATATTATGTATATCATATACATTTAGAAAAATTTCTATTATAAAGATTATTCCACATGTTTTACTTCATCCAAGAATGGAATATTTTTAAGTGAAAGCTTCCTCAAGCTTTCGGAAACTAGACTTATTTTCTTTTAATTTTCCAGCTGGGACTACTCTTCTCCTGAGTCACTAAAGCTTAAGAACGGGTGATTTTTGTGCCATCTGACTGATAACTGTTTTCTGAACCCAAACACAACTTAATATTACTTATTTCTATAAAAAAAATGAAATCCCCTAGTACATTGTCCATAGGAAGTTCCCTAATTTCATTATTCTTTTCCTCAGTTTCTACCACATCCTGTCCCTTCCCCCAATACATAGCTTTCTCTTTGCTTTCTTCTTAATTTATGAACACGTAGTAGATAAAGAGTTGGATCAAAATAAAAGAAATGGAGAAAACATGAGGTATTTTTCCAAGTAATCAGTCAGCCTTCATAATCAAGATTATCTTTATATAGCATTACTAGTAGACACACGTTTGAAATTATTTCTTGTTTTTTCAAGTATATCTCTATCTATCTATCTATCTATCTATATATTTATCTATCTATCTATCATCTATCTATCTTTACTTGAGTTTGTTCTACAGTTTACTTAATAATGTTTATCCATTAAACAAATATACATTGACCATCAATTTCATGAAGTAAGTACTATTGTCATCTCCATAAGGAAACAAATAATTTAGAAAAAAAAATTAAGACACCTGTCCAGGGTATCAGGGCTGGGAATTGTCCTGCTAATCACTGCATATTTAGTACACAACCTCTTTCTGTTCTCTTGGCTGACAAGACTGACCCTTCAGAAACTACATTGCACTCACTGGTATCTTCCCCTTGGCATTTCTATTTACTGCTTTTAATTGTAGATTTCTGTGCATATTAAAATGAAGTCCCAACAAATTGACAGAGATAGAGAGAGAGAATAATGTAAATAGTTGAGGTGATTTTCCCAATCATCTTCCACTCCAAGTGCATGCTCTGGAGAGGAATTTGAGTCTGCTATCCCAATATTTTCTGTTCCTGCATGACTCTTAAAATCTTGCTCTGGTTGACTCCCCTTCACCATGAAACAATGTCTTACATATGTACTATTTATTATATACTGGCCACTTTTTATATTTTACCCCAGACTATAAAGTGTGCCTATATTATGTATGTACTACGTATGTATATATTTAGTACACCTTCTAGGCAATTTAGTGATTTTTAATGGTAATTCTGACCTCATGTTTTTTAAATCTAACTTCCCAGCAGGATATGATATTATTGCATTTATTTTCCCTACTACGATGCTCTTTAGTCCGGGGTCCTCACTAAGTCATAACTCTCTCTCAGTACCTTCTTCAGTGTTTTGTTCCTGGAAGGTGATTGCTATATATGTTCATTTATAGTAAGTTTAAATATGTGCTTTCCCATCTCATGGCAGATGGCTATCCACGTGAAGAAATTGTCTATCAATGGAAGCGTAGTTCTGTGGAAGTGGGTGACACCAGATCTTGGAGGCTTTATCAATTTTCATTTGTTGGCCTGAGAAATACCACTGAAGTAGTGAAGACAACGTCTGGTAAGACACCCTTGAAAAGAAGATTGAGTGACCCTTCCAGAATTAAAATTCTGGTATATATGGTTCAGAAGGCTTTTCAATACCTGTTTACAAATGATATTCAGAAAATTAAATCAAGTGTTTCAACATACTAGAGAAAATTATAGTTGGTATTCTAGTATAATAGAACATACATGGATTCTATCAATTTGAAGCATATTGATTCTAAGTGGATTAGTAAATTATTTCCTTAATTTCTTTAAGCAAAAATGAGCAGCAATTATTTAAAAAGAAGAAAATATGTATTAGGTATAGGTATAATGTTTCTTTTGGGAAATATGTTTCATAATATATTGAAATAGATGCATTTAAAGGAATCACGCAGAAAAAAATAAACTTTCCACATACGCAGAAAAGTGGTTGTAGTGGATGTGGACTAATTGTTCAGTAAGCTAATATTTGAACTGACTCCATCACTGGATAAGGGACTGCACTTTGGTATCAAATAGGCCTGGGTTCAAATCCCAACTCCTTCGGTTATCAGCTGTAGACATTGAGAAAATGACTGAATCTCTAGGGGATCAACTTTCTCAGATAACCAATATGTCAGACAGAAAGATGATGTGTAGGAAAAAAATAAATAAATAAAAATGCTTGGAACTGTATCTGACACTTAATGAGTGTTCAATAAGCAGTAGCTCTTTTTAATATTAATTATAATCATCAAGTGTGCATGACGCCCAGTGTGGTGGTCAGGATTTCAGATGTTTCAAGAGAAGTGAAAAATCTAAATGTTTATATTAAACATCATGATTTTAATGGTATTAATTTGCTGAGGGCAGGGGGGGAGACAACAACAACATTTGGGGCAAGTTAAACATATTTCCAAATCAGATCTGTCTCATGAGTGGACAGTATGAATCTTTTGCAATGATGAATGTATTACTCAGCTACTCCTTTTTAAATTACATGAATTTAAATACGTCCCAATTTCAACTACAAACATTGTGTTCTCAGCTTGACATCTATTAAGTTGTGTTTTTCCATGAGTTAAGCTGTTTTCTGTTGATTTACTCACAGACACCTGATTTTTCCCCCTTGGAATTTATAAGACATATTTTTGTGTTAAATAATTTGGAATAAGGCCTTTGCCTTTTGTACAGAGAAAAGGAAATTTAAGACCTACACAAAGATGAAAACTTAAGATTCTACCTTCATAAATACTATCCTCTAAATCTAAGTGCTATCTGGCCCTAATCTTATTTTTGGCGTGTGCACATTTCTCCTAACGACTCTTTTCATTTTGCAAAAAGAATCTGAAAGAAAGTCAAAGAACTGCTCAAGTATATTTTTGAAAAGTTGCCTTCTGCTCCCTTATTCACTGGAAATCCTGACTATTAAGTACTAGAACAGTCTTTCATTTGGTGCCAAGAAAAGATTCAGGATTGCCTTAGAATGGAAGTCTTCCATCTGTGAAAGGTAGAACATGTGTAAAAACCATCTCCACGTTTGCATGCTTCCAGGATGAGAAACTAGAAATTAAGTTGTCATTCATTTTCTATAATTATTCCAGCACCCTAAAACAGAACCCACAAATTCATGACTAGCCGATGTTTGCTTAGTCCTTTGAGCCCAGAATAGCATTCAAACAAAATTGTGGTGAGGGAAGGGTTGGCTTTATATCAGGGGGCCTAAAATCATCGCCTTCCCGATGCCTCATATTGAGATGATCTAGAGTATTAACTGTCTATTTAAAGAGATACTAACACAAGAAAATGAGCTACTTACATAAAGCATGGCAAGAAAAATCACCAAGGTGTCACAAAGCTATTAATCTTCCTAGGGAAATCAAAGCAAATGTGCATTGATATCAGGTTTGATATTGAGTAGCATCATTTAATTGATGGCATCAAACCCTTGTGAATTTTAATATGGTAGCTAACCTTTGCATAGGTCTTCTTGTCTGCCCCCTGCTCTTGCTGATTTGTGCTTTGTGTATGGCACTAGTTCAATTGCCTCTGTAAAGAGAAGGGATGAACTGAAACATAACACCAATACTAAGAGGCAGCATGATTCTTGTGATAGTTGATTCTGTAGTAACTGGAAGTTTCTGCATGGTCTTTTGTTTGATTTCTGATGCCATTCTTATCTTCAAGCATAGCTCCATAACTGGTTAATATCTACAAAGAAGTTATAGTAACAACTTTCTTGGGACATTATAAGAAAATAAAATTTATAGTCCTTTTGATTCTTAGCCATTATTACAATGTGGTTTTCTCTTAGACATCGTAAACTGAATTTAAATTTCTTTAAATTGTGTTCAGTTAAATGATTTTTTTTTAAATGTCATGCTAGGATCATACTTCAAATATCAGAAGCATTAGACATAATTAGAAGTTGATATAAAAAATCATGAAAAAAAAGTTCTTAAATTTTAAGTGCATATATTTGTGTTCCCCAGACTCTGAGTATATTGATAAAGAGAGAAAGAAGGTATGAGAGAAAGAGGAAAGAACAGCTAGCACCTGAGTAAAACATTCCGTTGATGTAAACAGAAGGAACGAGGGAACATTCCACAGGAAAGAATTTAACGCAATTTGATAATCCTTGCATCCACCCTCTGAATCAGTGTCACGCTTGAGAAAAATATTCCCTTGGTAGCAGATTGACAAAACTTGAGAATACTTTTAACCCATAGTCAATGCATCAACACAGATTCCGGATCCATGATTTCTCCCCCGAACCATCATATCTTCCTGATTGCTCTATATCTGGTAATAGCACCATCATTGTCCCAGTGAGCCAGGCATGAACACTCAAAAGTCACGTCTCCGCCTCCCACACTTAATGAATCATGAAAGCACTTATGCCTCTGAAATAGCTTGTGTAACTGGCCCCTTTTCAGTTGCCATCATCACTGTCCTAGTTCACGATTTTGTCTGGTGTCATCTGGGTTGTGTTGGTAGCCTCCTAATTCATGTCCCTGTTGTCAGTTTCCCTCTTACATAATCTATCCTTTACCCATGAATCATGAAAGCTAGCATTTACTAAGCACCAACTACATGCACCATAGTAAACACATTACATAAACAACCTACTTTAACGCTGATAACCATAGTCATACTTACTATCATCTACACCGAGGGTATCACGTGGATGAAGAAACTGAGACTTCTACGGGTTTATTTATGTACTTTCAGGGATCAGTTAGGAGAGGTGGATATTAATTCAAGCGGCTTGCTCACAGACTCAGGCCCTTAATTACTACACTAGATTACTTCCACAGTGGCCGGATGCTTCTTCCTGAAAAAGCACAACTCCCATCACATCTCACAAATTCAGTAGGTTCAATTGAGCACAAGCCACTGTTCCCAGTATGGAAGCACCTGGTGCCAGGAACTTTCCAGCTTCGTTTTCTGTAATTTCTCAGGTTGTGATGGAACTAATCTGTTACGTTTCCTGAATATAACCAGCCAGTCCTATGTGCACACTGAATCTTGGTCTCCTTCCTCTTTTGAATGGCTTTTGCCTTCATGCCCACTTTCTTTTATGACTGTTAGGTTTAAATAAACAACACCTCCTCAAGGAGGCCTTTGTTGACCTTCCCACCAAAATAACTTCAAACTGTTTTCAAGAATGTGCACTCCTGACACCAGGCAGCTCACACTTGAATACTGGCTTATATAAATTATTTAATACATCTAAGCTCAATGTCACTGATATTGCAGGGTTGCTTTAAGTATTATGTAAGATACTCCATTAAAATCACTTAAAACTGCCTTGAACATAGAAAGGAATCAGTAAATGGAAGGCATTATTGTTACTATTATTATTAATCATCATTATTATTCCATGAATTCCTCTCAGCATTTCCAGCCACTTTATGAAAATATAGTATCTGACGTATGTTGCGCTGGTTTTATTCCTCCTTTTCTGTCTCTTCATACCAATAAATCACAAACTTCACAACAGAAGGCTTCTTATAATCATCTTTACATCTATGATGCTATTAACATGGTGGCTTGCTTAGAATTGTTGATTGGTAGGTAATTTTAGAATTCATTGCTTGTGACAATTGTATTGATAGAGCTGTACATTTTCCCTCAGTTTAATAAGCCATGTGCAATTCTATTAAATATATTCCCCATTACTCATTGTTTTTTCTAAAGTAGAAGCCTCTGTTCTTTCTGGTCATGTCCCCATTGCCAGGTCATTAAATTAGCTACACGACTTTTAGTATCAAGAAGAGCATTGTTACTCCATGTTCTCATCCTGAAATGTGGTTAGAAAAGTGGGCCAATGAGGCGAACCTACATTCTTGAGATCTGAATGCCATCATTTTGAATTAAAAAGAATATATCCCCTTCTTCCTATCTTAGAATACCATTAAAGCTTCCATTTAGCAATACAAACACATTAGTGTTTCATGAAATATCTTCATATATTTTTCTGGAAAACACATGTACAGTAACTATTATTTACTTTTTTTTGTCTTTAACATCTTTTTGGCTTAGATTCCATGTTCTTGATTTCCATTACAAGAAATACATAAATATTAAAATAAAAAGTCCACGCACCACTAGATTCATCTTAATTTCTAACAGTGGCATGTAGACCATGGTTTTAAAAAAGCCAGCTCCATGGATGAACTCTACGCTCATTACCTGATTTCTAAACTACGTACCATCCACCCTACACCTTTAAACCCTGCCCGCCATTCTCCCCGCAGCCTTTTATCTTCCTTAGGTTTTCTGGGCAGGTGCTACCTACTTCTGGTCTTCGTGCCCTATTTTCCTTATTTAAATCCAAGTTCAAACCCAGCCTTATCTGCCTAAATCAGTGTATATGGACTAGTCATATAATTCTCCACATAGGAAAAAAAAAAAGGGAGAAGTTTCCACCTTCTAGGTTGTGTTTTAATAAAGATGGATGACTTTTACTCATCACTGAGGTGAACTGTTTTGGAGGAAAGAAAAAATTTTAAAAAGATACAAGTTAACTAATTTTTTCACTGAAGACAT